TCAGGGGGTGATTCCTTGTTCAAATAAAGGGTAGTTTATAGTTTGCTTCATAAACGTTGGGTCAAAAGTGAACCATTAGGGAGATATCGCGGTACAAAGATGGCGGAAAAATAATGTTTTTATTTTTTATCTTGAAAACGAAAAGAGATAGACTAATGAAATTTTATGGAAGCATTACTGTTACGAAAACACACTTTCTGGTAATTTTTTCACTTTTTTAAAATGAGTGGAAGGGGTTGAAATAAACTACCCCTCTCATTCTTGTTAACGAAATTTAAAGAAAAATCTTATCAAACACATGCAAAAAAATTAATTTGGATAGTTCAGTTTGTTTGTAAACTTTTTTATCTCTTGTGTTTTTTTGATAAAACTCACCGATTTAAAATTAAAAAATAAAATGTAAAGCATTACATGTAAGGACAAAAAACATTTTAAGATTAAGAATCTAGTGATAATAACGATAATAATAATCATCTAGATAATAACGTATTGCAGTAATGTCAAATAAAATAATATTAGGAACATCCTAAAAAGTCACAGCGGCCGACTAGATTTTTTCCTAAAAAAATTACAGCAGCCCACTAGATTCTTTATCAGAAAATGTTTTTTCTCCTGACATGTAAAAAGTACTTTTAAAAATATACGAAATAACATGCATGTACTGATTTCTTTCGAAAATCGACAACTATGAAAATATGAGCTCTTCCTGGACACAAACGGTACGTTGTGAGACAGAAAATTGTAGAGAGAAACAAGCCCTATAACATAGGATACAACATTTTAATGAACAGTGCCATGGCGAAGTTAGGGGGGGGGGCTTGGGGGGGCTAAGCCCTTCCAGTTCCTGAATTAGCCCTCCCCCCAGACCGAACTAGCCTACACAACAAATAATTGAACATTATTGGTACTCAGACAAAACGAAAATTAAAAAATACTTTTCTGATTTGATCTGTAAAAATTGTTTAATTTTTAGTTTCAACTCAGTAGCGAATGCGAAATTGAAGCGAAATTGGCAACCAGGCTTAACGGGAATTATACCGATAAAGAGAGCTACAAACAGGGTTGCCACCTTTTGTATTTAAAAATCGGAACAGCACTGGTAAAACATTTTTTCTTAAATGTAAAATTTTATGTGTCATGCCTATCGGATTTTTAAACAATATTTATATCTTTTTGCGTTAACTTAAAAAAACTATTCGAAATTTATAAATAATTATGTAAAAATAAAAAGTAATTTAGTTATTATACAACAAGAAACAGCATACCATATACAGACAAGAAAATTATATTTTAATTATAAATAAATAAATAAATAAATGCCTTTATTGTCAAAAAATTTTTCAATTTGTGGACAAAGGTAAACTAACAAACAAAGTAAAAAAAAACAAGGTACACAAACAAACAAACAAAAGATAATACAAAACATTATACAAATAATATTGTCAATCTTATTGTTAAAATAAACATATATAAATGTTTACAATGTGAAAGAACAAAAAAAATTAAAATAATATTCAAAAATATTTAGCCAGTTTATAGCAAAATATCAATCATTAAATAAATTAATTTCGATGTCATTAGTAAATATAGCAATAGCAAACATTAGACCAGTGTTTTCAAGATCAAATTCGATTTTCAATTCAAATATAATTCATTTACGGCGTAGAAAGCCTTGTCTAGTAAATAAGAGTTCAATGCTTTGCGAAATGAAAAAATGATGTTATGGATTTGATTTCAAATGGCAGGTGATTGTGCATTTTTTCTGAGTTGTATAATATTGAACTTTTAACTAACTCTGAGCGTGGGGTAGGTAGATAAAGATCTTGCTCCGCGTTCCTGAGTGGATAAGTGTGAGATGGCCTTCTTGAGAAGCTGATACATGTTTACGTATTAGGCAAACGGATTCAAATATAAATAAGGAAGGAAGAGTCAATATTTTAATTCTCTAAAAAGCCCCGGCAATGAGCTCTGCTGTTTAGTCCCAGTGAATATCGAACAGCTCTCTTCTGGAGCTTGAAAATGCGGTCAAATCTGAGCCGCACAACACGTACCCCAGAATGGAAGGGCATACCTGAGATGCGACTCAAAAGTGCATGCGTAATAACAAGTTCTAGCCACTGACAAGTTAAGCTCCTTAGAAACAGACCTTAATGCAAAACAGGCAGAGCTCAATTTTTTCGACAAAGCTTCGATATGTATGTCCCATTTCAGAGAATTGTCCACAACAAGCCCTAAGAATTTTACGGATTTTACGACGTCAATGGTGGTGTTGTCAAGTACAAAAGGCTGCAGCGAGTTTTTATACGACAAAGCCTTAGTTTTAGAAATGTTGAGACTCAGGAGGTCTGAATCGCACCAAGATTTAATGGTGATTAAGTCATTTGATATAATCCTATGAAGTGCCATGATGTCCTTGTTGCTCCAAGTGAAGCTAGTGTCGTCCGCAAAAGACATATTTTGCCACTGATGTTTATGTTAGCAATGTCGTTAATAAAAAGAAGAAACAAAATAGGGCCTAGTACTGAGCCTTGTGGTACTCCACATTCTATTGGCTTGCTAGAAGACAACGTGGTATCCACCCTCACAAGTTGACTTCTGTTGCTCAGATACGACTTAAACCATTCGAGAGATGATCCCTGAACCCATAGTGCTGAAGTTTATTAATTAGGATCTTATGATTTACAAAATCGAACGCCTTAGAAAAATCACAGAAAATTGTTGCTGTAGAATGATGGTTGTTTAGGCTGGAGTAAACTTTTTATTAAGGAGGGAAAACATAGCGTCATTTGTGGACTTGTTGCTTAGAAATCCAAATTGATATTCAGTAAGTATTTTGTACTTAAACAGAAAAGATACCAGCCTGCTTTTAACCAACCTTTCTATGATCTTAGATAGCGTTGGAAGGAGTGCAATTGGGCGATAGTTAGAAGCTTCATTTTTGTCTCCTCCTTTGTGCAGTGGAATGATTATTGCCGTCTTAAGACATTTTGGAAAAATACCATTTTGGAACGACATGTTTATTAAAGTTGTTAGGTGATTCAGAGTGCTTTCTGGCAGATTCGAAAACATTTTTAAAGTATATTATATTATTATCTATTTATTTTACCCTAGAACAGGATTGGGGGTCCAAATACCTTTTTAATAAAGTTTTTATACTCTTTATGAGAAAATGTAGCCTAATTGGGGTGTGGTACCCCAAAATTTTTTTGAGATTGACGGCAACCTTCCGCTGCTTCAGTTTTGTAATAATAAGTTTTCATAATTGGGGCTTTAGCCCCCCCAGATCCAACGACCTAACTTCGCCCATGAACAGTGCTTTCCATAAAATCAATGAAATGAAAAATATACGAAATAATATGCATGTACTGATTTCTTTCGAAAATCGACAACTATGAAACTATGAACTTTTCCTGGACACAAACGGTACATTGTGAGACAGAAAATTGTAGAGAGAAACAAGTCTTATAACATAGGATACAACATTTTAATGAACAGTGCTTTCCATAAAATCAATAAATGAAAATATACGAAATAATATGCATGTACTGATTTCTTTCGAAAATCGACAACTATGAAACTATGAACTCTTCCTGGACACAAACGGTACATTGTGAGACAGAAAATTGTAGAGAGAAACAAGCCCTATAACATAGGATACAACATTTTAATGAACAGTGCTTTCCATAAAATCAATAAAATGAAAAATATACGAAATAATATGCATGTACTGATTTCTTTCGAAAATCGACAACTATGAAACTATGAACTCTTCCTGGACACAAACGGTACATTGTGAGACAGAAAATTGTAGAGAGAAACAAGCCCTATAACATAGGATACAACATTTTAATGAACAGTGCTTTCCATAAAATCAATAAAATGAAAAAATATACGAAATAATATGCATGTACTGATTTCTTCGAAAATCGACAACTATGAAACTATGAACTCTTCCTGGACACAAACGGTACATTGTGAGACAGAAAATTGTAGAGAGAAACAAGCCCTATAACATAGGATACAACATTTTAATGAACAGTGATTTCCATAAAATCAATAAAATGAAAAATATACGAAATAATATGCATGTACTGATTTCTTTCGAAAATCGACAACTATGAAACTATGAACTTTTCCTGGACACAAACGGTACATTGTGAGACAGAAAATTGTCAGAGAAACAAGTCCTATAACATAGGATACAACATTTTAACCGAACAGTGGTTTCCATAAAATCAATATAATGAAAAATATACGAAAAATATGCATGTACTCAGATTTCTTTCGAAAATCGACAACTATGAAACTATGAACTCTTCCTGGACACAAACGGTACATTGTGAGACAGAAAATTGTAGAGAGAAACAAGCCCTATAACATAGGATACAACATTTTAATGAACAGTGCTTTCCATAAAATCAATAAAATGAAAAATATACGAAATAATATGCATGTACTGATTTCTTTCGAAAATCGACAACTATGAAACTATGAACTCTTCCTGGACACAAACGGTACATTGTGTTTCCTGACAATGTCAGGAAAAAAACTAAATAAAACTGACAGCTTGACATTTTTTACCGCAGAGCTACCACCCGAATCCCCAGCAGGAAATTTAAATTCCAGTTAATCAGCCCGGCGCCGAATATGCCATCGTTGGCAACAGTGAATTTAAAAATGGCGCCCTCGATTACGTAACTAAAAGTTTAATTGGTATCGCTTATACAGGGTGCTACAAATTCGAGGTACGAGCATTGGTATCTCTGTAACCGTAATAGATACGAAGATGGTTAAACTCCTGTCGTTACTTTTTAGAAAATCAAAAAACGTTTTCATGTCCACTTTATTAGGGCTATCTGTTAGTATTTTTAGATTTTCAAATTAGCTGGTAATTTGTGAGATGCAGCAGAGGCCAACTTAATTTTTTTAATTACGGACCTGCATTTTATATTTCAGTTTTACAATAAATATATTTTTTATTAATGAAGTAAACTTTTCAGATGTAGAAATAGAGATTTTGCCACAATTATTCCACACCAACCCGCAAGATACAGGGATCGGCACAACGAAGTGTTCCTGGACTTTGAGGCGTTTCTTCTGAGCACGATGAAGGAACGGTCGACGTTGTGGATCCATTCACAAATAAAGGCCTGCATGGAAGCCCTGGATTGCCAGCCAGACTTCTGTCTGGATCTGTTCGAGCCTTCCGGTCATGGAAAACGGAGGTAAAGCTAAATAGATATAAAATAAATGAAGGTTATTCATTATTTTTCCTTTGGAAGATATTTCTTTCTTTCACATGCAACAACATTATTGAATTTTGTTTGTCTTCCGAGGGCCAATACTCATGTAGAAAGGGTATTTACAGTAGTCAATAAGTTATAGACAGGTACAGGGTGGGCCAAATTGGACGCTTTTAAAGGGAAACATCATTTTCATTTTTAGAAAAAACAATGAGTTTTAAATTTTTTTTTTCATATCGTTCCACCACTTCAAAAAATTCTAAAAAATTCCTGAGTGTAACGGAGTATAAAAGACGTTTTCTGACGATTTTGAGTAACATATTTCACAAAGGTTAAAAAAATCATATTATTTTATCATATCATAGACTTCTAAGAATTAGAAAAAAAATCATCATTAATTAATTTTGAATTTTACTATAAAAATAAAAATAAAATTGAAAACGAGGTTTTTTGAAAATCTCGAAAACCGTTTGAGTTAAGGAGCTAAAAATTTAGGTGAATTATTTTGATTCGACACCAAATGGATCACCTGAGTGCGAGTCAAAAAAGCCCCGGGGCCAATGACTAAAGAATCCAAGGACAAATAACACCCGTGAGCAAATTGTGACGACGCGATGTCACCAAACAGAGCCGTGGCACATATTTTTCTTAACCTAGCTGTTTGAAGCAATATTTATATTTTTTGATAATTGTTTTGACTACGCCTATGGTGTATCATCCGAATTAATTACGAAAAAAACGTATTAAAATGTTAACAAAAGGTATAAAACTAGTATCGACGTATAGCACATATCAAGTACATATAGATGTTAATTGAAATTGAAGAATAATTATCGAATTCGATAAGAAAACGCTAAAAAGTTGGAGTGGACTGTTTATTTACCTATGAAACGTAACTCTCTTTCTTATCGCTGCTGCTTTTACACTTGAAAGCTGAACAACTAATCACCATTGTAATAAAGTTTATACAAAGTTTACTACACACAAACTATTAAAAATCGCTAAAATTGTCGCTGGTGACCAAATGATGACTCATTGTTTGCCACCAAAACAAAAAAAAAGGTCTAGAGTAAAGGCAGGAGACACTTATACGGAAGAGATACCGACACCAAGAGGCATCAGACAAGGTGACAGCCTTAGCCCATTTCTGTTCAATCTCTTAATGGACAGAATTATAGAGGAAGTATCATCACTAAATATAGGATACCGAATGGGACAGAAAAGAATCAGCATGGTATGCTACGCCGATGACGCAGCCATTTTCGCGGAAACGGAGGACGACCTGCAGAAACAGCTTCACAGATTCTACCAGGTCAGTCAAGCGATGAATATGACCATATCTACAGAAAAACGAAAAGCATAACCTTTGCTAAAGACCCCGTGAGATGTAAGTTGGTAGTTCAGGACAAAATCATCGAGCAAGTCTCACAATTCAAATACCTGGGTATGGATCTGTCGAGCCACCATGATCCAGCGAAGGACTTAAGAAGCCAGATCAACAAAGCGACTGCCATGTCGGGCTGCTTAAGGCAAACAATATGGGCGAACGAATACATGAGATGGGATAGCAAGGTAAAGATATACAAGACTTGTATCAGACCAATCATGACATACGGAATAGAAACCAGAGAGGAAACCAACAAAACGAAGAGCATGCTACGAGTAGCCGAGATGAAAACGCTCAGGACAATAATGGGAAAAACAAGAAGAGACCGAATTAAGAACACCGACATCAGGGAACAATGTGAGGTTCAAGACATAGTAAGGTGGGGCAGACAAAGAAAAAGAGGTTGGTACGCCCACGTGAGAAGAATGGATGAGAGAAGACTGCCACGAATTGCATTAGAAGGGAAACCAACAGGGAAAAGAGACCCTGGAAGACCACCTAAGAGATGGAAGGACAGCTGGCAGTCCACCTCCCAAAAACTGTTACAGAGGACCCATCAAAATTAACAGATCGTGAGATCTTAAAAATGAATAAGAAGAAGAAGATAAGAAAACGCTAAAAAGTTGGAGTGGACTGTTTATTTACCTATGAAACGTAACTCCTGGCTCTTTCTTATCGCTGCTGCTTTTACACTTGAAAGCTGAACAACTAATCACCATTGTAATAAAGTTTATACAAAGTTTACTACACACAAACTATTAAAAATCGCTAAAATTGTCGCTGGTGACCAAATGATGACTCATTGTTTGCCACCAAAACAAAAAAAAAGGTCACAAATTCTGCTGCAGCCCGTATAGGGGCGTTACATATCCTTATATTCTTTAGTCATTGCCCGGGGCAGATTTCCCATATTAATCCGGCTATACCCTTTTTAGAAAACGTCGTGAAACAGCAGAAGTTACACAAATCACCGAACAGGACAATTTAGGCAACGCCTTATCCAAATTCAATGACAGTATACACTTTGCCAAGATCCAGGGAAATTTGGAATACACAGTTCTGATGCCTGGAGAATTTTTCCAGAGAGCGTCATCCATGGAGAGCAGTTGCAGCACATTTCTGGTAAATATCTATTACACCGGGTGAACAGGAAGTAACCGAAAACAATTGAATACGTCAATCAATACTGATTTATGTCATATACTAACGTACCAAATCTCGTTTATTTATCTGAAAAAATAAAAAGGTTGCAGGGGTGAGCCACTTTAGAGGAACACCCTGTATAGAGTATTTTTATGTCTTAATAAATAAATTAGATACGAGAAAAATACAAAAAGATCGAAAAAAACCGCCGTGAGAGATAGCTATAAAATAAAGAAGGCTGTCATTCTACCGGATGAATCTCAAAAGTGGTTCACCCCTATAACTTTTTTTATTTTTTTAGTTAAAAAAACGAGATTTGGTATGTTAGTATATGACATAAATTAGGATTGATTGACGTATTCAATTGTTTTCGGTCACTTCCGGTTTCACCGGAAATGACTACAACTTTAGATTTTTAAATGACACCCCCGGAATTTTTTTACTTTATTCGATACAAAATGACACTCTGAATAGAATGACATATCATATGTCAACCTTTGACATTTTCGCATATGGTTTATTTGAAATTTCTTACGGTTCGTAACGAAAATTTGACTCAAGATACCAATTATGTGGTATCAAATTATTCGTAAAAAAATGCTTTTTCCAAATATGCTAATGAGCCACCCCGTTCCATTTGGAAAAATTGAGATATGATTAAAAATACGATTTGAGCATTTTCTAACTGGCCAGGACAAGACACTAAAAACATTAGACGATCAAATCTATTTTTCCATGGCTCCTTGATGAAGAATTATTGTTTTTAACATAGCCATGGCACTCTAGATTGAATTTTAAAATACATTTTTTTATTAAGCGAGAATGTCAAAAGTTGACATATGATATGTCATTCTATTCAGAATGTCATTTTCTATCGAATAAAGTAAAAAAATACTGAGGGTGCCATTTAAAAATCAAAAGTTATAGTCATTTCCGGTGAAAGAGGAAACGACCAAAAACAATTGAAATCGCCAATCAATCCTAATTTCTGTCATATACTAACATACCAAATCTCGATTTATTATCTGAAAAAATAAAAAAGTTATAGGGGGTGAGCCACTTTTGAGACGCACCCGGTATATGTAAACTTATATGAATAATGTCATCGATGTTTATTTCCAAGGCAACTGGTCGCCGTTTTTTTTTCGGGCATACTCATAATTACTCGACAGAGTTTTGTGGCACACCGATGACATACTAAAAATTTTAAAATTTATTTTAGACACATTTTTTTTTAAACTGTCTTTGATTTAAAGGTCGTTGCTGCCATTTTGGGATGTCTACTGTTCATGGCAGCCTTCATTATGTGCTGGCTGGCTACTAAGCTGCATTCAGCACTCATGGAAACCAACGAATCAGGGAAGAACGTGGATGATTTTGTTAGGGAGAGCAGGCATTACAGCGAAAGTTGCTACACAGGCAGACCTACAACGCAATGAAAAGACTATTTTTATTTAGTGAATATAATATATAAAGGAAAATTAAAACAACTTTCGTTACACGTCATCAATGACACCATGCGTCGTCTTATGGAGTTTGCTGGTGGTCGTATTATGATGTGCAACCAAAGTTATTTTAATTTTCCTAACAAAACATATACATTGATTTGTTTTGACTCAACATATACAAGCAAAATGTAAACAAACTGTTTGGATATTTCCAGTTTGATTTTACCAAAAATGTTGAACTGTATTCATGTCATTGCATTCAGGATTATTTTCATAAAAGCTTCTTCTTGGTAGTTATTTATGCAAGGTATTCCAAACTGTATTCCGGAAACTTCAGCAGCATATTCTGCAGATAAAAATAAATAAAAAAGTTCGTATAAATGGCCGTCCTAAAATGCTTAGTTTCGGAGATACAGGGTGTAGAAGTTTCATTTTTATTTCGATTTTTTCCAATTAATTTCTGAAGTAACGTCAATACTTGGATGAAAATTGGCATCTGGAAGTTTTTTTGATGCGAGAAAATTGATTTTGATGTCAATATGACTCCTACTTGTAGAGGGCGCCACCTACATATTTTGAAGGTTCAAAACCATCAACTGGTTTGAAGAGTGGTAACTTTTTGTCCGGATCTGTATAAAACTACTGAGTAAAAGAATATACATTTACGACATTTTTTACATAAAAAAGGTCTCTTAGTGAAAATCGCTACCAGTAATGGTTCTCGAGATATTTGGAATCGAAATTATCAATACCTGTCATCATTGACGTAAATTAAACATGTTGACTAAATAGTTATTAAACTAAAATCATAAATTTGAAATGTTTTTGTGCCAAGAGATCAACAGAAACAGTTTTATCATCATTTTTTCGAAGAAACATTTATGATTAATTTAAAAAATAAACATTTCCCAAATTTATAATTTCAGTCAAATAACTATCTACTCAACATTTTTATTTTTTGTCAATAATGACATGTTTTTACTAAATATCTTAAGAACGGTTGCTCGTAGTGATTTTTACCAAAAGACATTTTTTACGTAAAAAATCAAGAAAATGTATATTTTTTCACTCTTCAAAACAGTTAAAACACGTGTAGGTGGCGCCCTCCTACAAATAGGAGTCATATTGGCGTCAAAATCAAATTTATCATGTCAAAAAACTCCCAGACACCAATTTTTATCCGAATATTGACGTTACTTCAGAAATTATTTGGAAAAAAATCGTAATAAAAATGAAACTTATACACCCTGTATCTCCGAAACTAAGCATTTTAGGACATACATTTATACGAACTTTTGTACTTATTTTTATCTGCAGAATATGCTGCCGAAGTTTCCGGAATACAGTTCGGACCACCCTGTATAGAAGTAAAAGACTATAAGAACCAACCACAAACCAAACTAATTTTGTAGATCAGTGTTATGATTTTTTTATTCTACATCAAATAACTCGTAAACACATTTTTGATTATAATGTTTTATTCCATCTTTTTTTTTTCATAATATCATCATTTAATGTACATATTTCTAATTTTTCTTCTAGTTAATCTTGCCAAAGGACTCAATTCTCGTCCGAAACCAAATATATTTATTTATTTTTACCTTTATTTATTTATAAATTATTTAATTTATTTATTGAACTTTTAGTAAGTATTTTTTTGTAAATATTATTTGTTAAGTAAGCTTATCGGGGAAACGTTTTCGGGTAAAAAGAAATTTTACGAAATATTTTCTTTTGTAAAATTTTTTATTCTTTAATATTAATATATAATGTGACGTAGTTTTAGTTTAAGGATATGGGTGGAACTAAAATAAGTATATTAATAGTAATTTATTTAGTATATGTAAGTTTGTTCTAATTTTATTTAAATGTTATTTGATCAGCTATAATGTTTATTTTGTATTTGATTGTCTGTATTTATTTAGACTATTCTGTTAATATACATAGAGTATTTTAATAAAAAAGTAAGTTAGTAAAAATGATGAAGCCTCAATAATTCTTAATTTTTTAGTAAATGATTGACAATTCAAATTTCTTTCTTCAAAAAATACCACACACACTCTCAAAACATATATACATACAGGGTGTTCAAAAATGCACTACCAAATGTATAGCGAAATTAAAATAAGTTTTGGTTGCACATCATAATACGACCACCAGTAAACTCCATAAGGCTCCGCGCGCACTGCATCGGATCGGACCGACCAGCAAAAGCGACTGCGACTATCGTACATATAGACGGCGCCGGCGTCCACTAAAACATTTCGGCCTGTAGAGGCCAGATTCCTACCTCTACCTATCCACGATAGTCGAGTCACCGCCTTCGCCGTTTCTCGCCGGACTGGTACCGGTTCAGTGCGCGTACACCTTAAGACGATGCATGGTGTCATTGATAACGTGCAACGAAAGTTGTTTTAATTTCCCTTTTACCAAGATTTGTACTGATATAGCTTGACTGCACCTTTTTTAATAGAAATTGATAACAAATGCTAAATAAATGTATATAAAAACTTAATGTAATACGTATTAAAAAAATTGGGCCCAGTTCGTGTGATTTGCAGTTTAAGTTCTAACTATTCGGAAAGGTATACAGATTATGTTTGCACATATGTACATGTTTTTTCATATTGAAGAGGTCAAATTTATTTTAAATATTGAAAAAATAAAAGAGAGTTGTTTCATTTTATAAATACAATTTTATTGTCAATTGATATACAGTGTGTCCACGAAATAAATTGACACGAAGAGGAAAAAATAAGTTACTTTTATTTTAAGACAAAAAGTCAATCTTTAACCACCCGGTATAAGTTCCGGCGGCAATTCGCGGCAGCCAATGGCAATTAATTTATATGCAATATACTTTAAGCAACAAGTATTATCATGCCGTTTAAGAGGATTTGAAAGGTAAAGTAGTTAAAAGATTTAAAGAGTGACAAGCAAAAATGTAAAAATACAATTTTTGTTGCCTTAAAATAAATTGCCATCAACTAATATTACTTAGGTTTAATTAAGTGCAAAAAAAACAGTTCTTTTTACCTTCTTTTCGAACGCCCATTACAGAAAAGGCAACAGCTTTTATCAATTTTAATAAAATAAGTAATTAATTGGCGGTATCTGAAAACTATTTATGTCAGCTTGATACCAATAGCAAAAATGTGACATTTCTAATAAAAAAAGCGCTACACTAGGCTTACTTTATTTTGTTATTTATTATGTATCGTTTACAGGGGAATATAAGAAAAGTACTATCAACAGTTTCATGCAAACATTTTGAAATTAATATTTCCAAGTAATGACCTATCTGGGAACCACTGTACAACAGATGCGAAAGAACACCGAATTACGCGTTCAGGTTTCTGTGACCTTCAGAAAGAGTTCATAGACAATCCGCATCAATGTATAGTTTGGGTTATTATTTGTTTGGGTGAATATAATCTGCACCAATATGTTATCGAGGCATACAAAAAGGTCCACAGACTTCGACACATACGAAAAATCAAGTCCATTTAGCGTGTGTCGCAATTTTCACACCTTAAAAAATTAGTTTTTTATAGCTATAGCAACTGCAGCGACTATGAAAAAAGCTGTGTGATTTTCATAGAAAATAAGGGCACCTGTAATTCATTTGAGAATGTTATAAATCGCTAAAAGAGGTTTCAAATCTCTTGGATTTCTATTAATATTAATAAATTTTATTAAAATTGTTAGTTAAACTAAAATTGTTAGTATCATTAAAAACAATTCAAATTCAAAAAATTGTATCAGTCAAATTCCCTCATTTAAGGTGAATATTAAAGTAAATATAAATACAGCTCATTCTAAGCTCATTATCTTTAAGAAAAATTTAAATCATTGTTGCAAATTGGGCCTTAATGCCATTTCGAACAAACAATAGTATTAATAATGTACATTATAATAATAATAAATTTTATATCATAGTGATTACAGTTGAGGGTTGGAACCTTTGGTGTTACACTAAATCACCACAATACACCAAAACACTTTTACTTTTACACTGGACGCACGTTTCGCTAACCATGTTAGCATCATCAGCAGATGATTATAAACCAAAGTACAATCTACAAGTTGAGCGTTTATATACTCGCTCAGTGGGCACCGAGTGGGCGTGGCAAAATCTAGCCAACCGAGTCAGAGCCAACTGAGCGTAACAGTTAGATTTCCGCCACTAGAGTAGTAGGAACAAAGAACTTGAAGGAATTGGACCGTTGACTCTGTTCATACTATCTTTACATTTATTAATTCTGATGCTTTCATATGCATCTAATTGCCTGTAATTTGAGACTTGTTTAATTAATTTTAAATTATTAAGATCTATACAATGTTCATTATCAACAATATGTTCGGCAACGCAAGATTTATCCGGTCTACCATATCTTATCTGAGCTAAATGTTCTTTAAATCTAGTTAATATTGATCTTCTAGTTTGCCCAACATATTTCTGATTACAATCTTTACAAGAAATTTCATAAATACCCGACCTTTCCAGTGGAGGTGTTTTATCCTTTGTATTGCCTAATAATTGTTGTAATTTATTATTAGCACTATACACAAGTTTATAATTGACATTCTTAAAAATTACTTTTAGACCACAGGATAACTCTCTATCAAACGGTATCGAAAAATATTTAGACGTATCTTCCTCCACTTGAAAAGTCGAATTTTCAGGAAATCATTAAGCTATACCTACGTTTTCTAATTAATTTATCAACTAGTGAAGGAGAATATCCATTACACTCAGCTACATTCCTAATGTAATCTCTTTCTATTTCATTTCTTTCGTTGGAAAGTGGGAAACTAAGTAATCTATGAACTAAGAAATTTAAACTAGCCATTTTATGTTCAACACTATGATGTGATTCATTAGGAATATATCAGCGTGTGGTATTTTTCCTATAGATATCAAATTCCACGCAATTATTAGTATTTCTAATAACTAATACATCTAGAAATGGTAATCTGTCGTTGTTCTCAATTTCATGCGTAAATTTAATGGAAGGAAAACGATTATTTAACTTAGAAATAAAATTATCTATGGTGTCTCAATGTGTGTCAAAAACAACAAAAATATCATCCACATACCTAACCCATACTCTTGGAAAATACTTAAACTGATTCTTAGCTTCCACTTCAAACCTGCTCATGAATAAATTAGCCAAAAATGGAGACAATGGATTACCCATTGCTGTACCTTCCCGCTGTTCAAAAAAGTTGTTATTAAATTGAAAACAGTTTTGTTTCATACATAACGATGTAAGCTCAATATATTCAATCACAGTTTTGTTGTCGAGACCATTTGCGTTCAGTAATTCCTTCAAATAGCCTAAAGTATGTGGAATTGGAGCACTTGGGAACAACGAAGATACATCAAAGGAGACCAAAATTTCACCTTCATGCAATGTTATATCTTTAATTTTGTTAATGAATTCAATATTATTTTTAACTGAGAAAGAAGGTTCATGATCAGGTAAATTTTCGAACTCCCTTGATAACCATTTTGCCAAATTATAAGTCGGAGAACCTACAGCCGAAACAATTGGGCGCATAGACTTGTCCGGCTTATGAATTTTTGGCAAAGCATACAATTTTGGTAATGAGGGATTGGATACTTGCAATTTCCTCTTTAAAGAAAGATCAATAAGGGTGTTACATTCTTTTAGAGTTTTTTTAACGTCTGCTACCATCTTAGACAAGGGATTCTTTTTCAAATTTATGTAGGGGCCATTATCGATTAAGTTGTTAACCTTATCATAATAGTCTTTTTTATCTAATATAACAACCTTATTTCCCTTATCAGCTTTTAGATAGAAACAATCTTTGTTACGCAAACTCTTGACAATATTGTGCTCTTTGTTAGATTTTAATGAATTACTTGAAAGGATATTTTTCGATAACTGATTTCTACAAGCCTCTCTTGTAAATACTTTAGAAGCCTCGGGCAAGTGCTGAATAGCAGTTTCAACACCAACGACGATTTCCTCCAAAGCGCTACCAGAGTTGGGCAATGCATACTTTAAACCTTTGTTTAATAACGGACAACAGATGGACCATAAAAATTACAGCATGGTACCCACGGGGAATTAAGAGACCTAGAAGAAGACCAAACCTGAGATGAGATTATGCTATTAAGAAATTAGCAGGGATAACTTGGGGGGTGACAGTAAACCGGAAAATTGGAAACAGTTGTGGCGCGGTTCTACCCAGGCAGAACAGCCCGCCATTAAAAACCGGAAACGGAAATAAATTTCATAAAATTGAAATTGTCATGTCTATGTCATGTCAAATGTCCCAGCCGCCATATCTGAAAATTAGTTACCCAGGCAGCCACGCTGTTTCCATAATTTAACATTGACTTGACACTTCTTCTTGTATTTATTATTTTATGGGGATAACTTGGGGCTGCATAGCCAACAATAGACAACAATGGGCCGAATTACAAAGAGAGTATCTAAATATGTGAGGGAGGCTACACCATAACTGGAAATGGTTGAATAAGCTGAAAATGATGATGATGATGATATACCAATACTTTTGAACAATGTCGGTATAGTAGATATGTGACATTGTATCAATTAAAATATACAAAAAGTCAAGTCATTTTTACTGTTAGATTTTCCGGATATTTGTTCAAATTTCTTGTCTGGAAAAAAATGGTATATTATCCCGCGTCAATTAAACAGTACCTCTGTTTAATTGACAAACAATAGCTCACAAATGTCAAAAATTTTATCAAAATGTCAACTCTAAGTCCGTCATCGGGCAGGAGCGAAAAAAATATACAATCTCAGGAATCCGGAATCGGTAGTCCTGAAAGAGTTACTTCTCTGTATAACGAAACACCGAAAAAAACATCATGGAGTGAAATTCTGGAAGAATCTTCCAAAAATAGAGAAGAACTGGACAATTATTTAAGCAATAAAAGGAGAGAAGAGAACCAAATCACTTTAGATTCACGTAATGTATCAATTATTTTTCGAAAAAAAATGGTAATAATGCCGGGTCTAGAGCAAGGCGACAGAAAGTGAACACGATTTTGAGACAAAAACAAGACAAACCTGCGACAAGACAAATTTGAGACAAAGGGCCTATACCGCGAGGACAAAACTACAACAAAGTTCAGTATATACAGGGTTGTTCACCACATACGACACGAAGTATTGTAGCTAAACGATTAGATTTTTACAAATTGTAAGTTTTGGGTTCGTTGAAGGACTATTAGAGCTACAATTTAAAAATATTTTTACAAGATACAGAGTGACCCAAATAAATAAAAAATATCGAAGTTGTATTTTTTTAAATGGAACACCCTGTATATTATTGATTTTTTTAGTTTCTACGATTAAAATAAAGGTAAATCTCATTAAGGTTTATTACACTTAAAACTTACCGTTTTTGAAATATTTTCAATTTTGTGAAATTGCAGTATAAATTTTAAGGCTTCATTTCTCCGAGGGTATCAAAATTTTTAATACTAAATATTTACTGAAGTTTATTTATTGATCAGTTATTGTGTTGCAATAATAAAAATTATACTACCTTATACAGAGTGTTTAAAAATTTATTTTAAATAATTACTAGCTTTAAACGGCAATAAGTTGCTTAATTTAAATGGAATACCCTGTATTTTTTGGAGAATCAGATGCACAATTTAATTGTCTATCAAATTGTATTATACCACTTTTTACCTATCCCTTCAAGTTTTCGTAGAAAATGCATTTTCTTATAATTTAGACCTGATTTATCAATATACCCATGAAATATTGACATTTTAGATTGTTTTTAAAACAACAAATGTACAAAATGCACAGGCTAGTAATATTATCGTTTTTAGTTAAACGATGATATTACTAGCCCATTTGTATGCAAAAAGAAAACTATTTAAATCTTTATAAAAGAGTATACCATTAATTAAATATACCACCAGTATTTTCGCCCAAATACTAATTAATCACATACTTAATTGTGTTCGTTATCAGAAATCAATATAATATTAAGTTATGAAAATGAACGTCTCTGTTGTTATAAATAAGCATTTGTCAAAAAATGAAATGCCATTTTTAAGGTGTTAGTTTTTTTACCACACTGTCACTAAATACACATAACAAACTAATACACATAAATAATTCAGTTTTTTAGTATTTGGAGCAATTTTTTAATGAAATAAACGAACTATGTTGACAATATTAGTATCTGTACTCTTTAAAAATTTGGTACATGTTTAAAAATAATCTAAAATGTCAGTATTCCATGGGTATATTGATAAATGAGTTCTAAATTACAAGAAAATGCATTTTCTACGGAAACTTGAAGAGATAGGTATAATATAATTTGATAGACAATTAAATTGTGCATCTGATTCTCATAAAATATACAGGGTGTTCCATTTAAATTAAACAAGTTATTGCCGTTTAAAGCTAATAATTATTTAAAATAAATATTTAGACACTCTGTATAAGGTAGTAAAATTTTTATTATTGCAACACAATAACTGATCAATAAACTTCAGTAAATATTTAGTATTAAATAGTTTGATACCTTCGGAGAAATGAAGCCTTAAAATTTATGCTGCAATTTCACAAAATTGAAAATATTTCAAAAACGGTAAGGTTTAAGGTGTAATAAACCTTAATCAAATTTACCTTTATTTTAATCGTAGAAACTAAAAATGTAATAATATACAGGGTGTTCCATTTAAAAAAAATCAACTTTCATATTTTTTATTTATTTGGGACACTCTGTAACTTGTAAAAATATTTTTAAATTGTAGCTCTAATAGTCCTTCAACGAACCCAAAACTTACAATTTGTAAAAATTTAATCGTTTAGCTACAATACGCCGTGTCGTATGTGGTGAACAACCCTGTGTATGCGAATCAGTTTTATTTATCATGTGACCTTTCCACCAGAAAGAAATTAAAAATATATTACTAGCAGCCTACTAATGTTGCCAGCAGACTCGCCATCCCATGTTGCAAAAAGAAACCCCAAATGTTTTTGTTTTAATTTCTCTCGTATACTATACCGGGTGTGTCTCAAAAGTGGCTCACCCATATAACTTTTTTATTTTTTCAGATAAAAAAAACGAGGTTTGTTTTTGACTAATGTCATATATTAGCAGTACCAGCACACCACAGTACTAACTTTGTGTGATTTCATTGGTTTCCTACTTTTGGCAACACACGACATCCACACTGCGCCGACAACTTGTTGTAAAATACACGACAAAACAGAGACTCTTTGAACTTTACCGACTCGAGACGAAACCGTTTGTTACCAAAGTCTCCGAATTTGGTAACAAAACAAAAATGAGACAAAAATGTCCTAGAATTTGTCGCAACTTTGTCTTAAAACATGAATGTTTCTGTCTTGTCGCTGTTTTGTCTGCTTGGTCGTGTCTCTGTAGCGATTAAAAGAAAATTATATTCAGTGTAGCCGTTAAGGGTTAATACACAGACAACTCTATTTTAATTTAGTTTGTGGTTAATATAATTTTCTGTCAGTTTTGTAGATGTATTCTCTCAAAATCGTTACTTTCCTTGCTGCACAGACTTTGGATGTTTCAGAATAACATTATTTTATTTTTAGTGCCTGCTATCGCTTACTTAAATGAGAAGATATTTCCATCTTTAAACACTGCTTTAATAGCTATGTTAGAAAGAGTAAAAGAAGAGGATAGTTTTTATGTAATTTCTTTCTTTAAATATCTTTTTATACAACTTATAACCAGAAAAATCCAGATAGTTTGACAAATTGTGATTTTATGAATATTGTTTTATATTTTTTATACATAATTGTTATACAGGATTGTTCACCACATACGACACGGAGCATTGTAGCTAAACGATTAGATTTTTACAAATTGTAAGTTCTGGGTTCATTGAAGGACCCTTAGAGCTACAATTTAAAAATATTTTTACAAGATACAGAGTGTCCCAAATAAATAAAAAATATCAAAGGTTTATTTTTTTAAATGGAACACCCTGTATATTATTACATTTTTAGTTTCTACGATTAAAATAAGGGTAAATTTGATTAAGGTTTGTTACACTTAAACCTTACCGTTTTTGAAATATTTTCAATCTTGTGAAATTGCAGTCAAAATTTTACGGCTTCATTTCTCCAAGGGTATCAAAGTTTTTAATACTAACTATTTACTGAAGTCTATTTATTGATCAGATATTTTGTTGCAATAATAAAAATTATAGTACCTTATACAGAGTGTCTAAAATTTTATTTTAAATAATTACTAGCTTTAAACTGCAATAACTTGTTTAATTTAACATAACAAATGTACCTTTGAAGGACCATCGTAAAGCTATTCTGACGTTACAAGGAAGCACAAAAAGTACATTTTTACTCCTAATAGAACATACATACAATTTTTTTAAAACATTACAAATCATTTTTAATCAATTTCAAACATTGCAAATAATATAAACAGCAATCGAGCAACAATTTGTACGCTCTTTGAATTTGACACTTAATATTTTTTTTGTTTAATAATATATTTTTTGTACTAAAAAAATCTGATTTAAATAAAAAAAATCTGATTTAAATCAAATAAATCTGATTTTTTTGATTTTTTTAAAAAAATTATGATTTTTTCCATCCCTGGAAAAAACAATATGGCGATATTATTATATAACTTGGTAATATTTGAGGGGTAGTTTCATCTCGTTGGAATTTGACTTTCCAGACCGTTTGTGTTTAATCAATTACCCAACTTTTTGGAACACCCTGTATGATTTTTTAAAAAAATTCAAAATATGTAAAAAAACAAAATAAATTATGCTCCTCCAAGCGTTTTCCCGAAAGACTAACCGTTTTTTAAATAACAAATAATGTAATATTTGAGGGACGTTTTTACCCTCTTGGAATTTGAGATTCGAGAAACCCCTCCTTGTAGAATGTAGAATGTTTAGGAGGGGAGTTAATCACCGCGACCTTATAGATCTATTGTGTGTTCCCCATTTCTTGAGTTATAACGAGTTATAACTCATCATACAGTCTCAGGGCTTTAAGAAAAGCAAGTATCTGAGACGGCTCCACAGAGGCCAGCTCTCCATCCTCGACATCAGACGTACCAAGGTTCATGGCACGAATGGTCGTTGTCTCGGCGCACTCAGGGTCTGCTAGTAAACATGTTCAAGCTTAAAGTATCACAACCACAGATAACAAACAAAAATCACAACACTATTTATTTAAACCAAAAACTCGTAATACAAAACTAAATTGTCAAAACGAATGACAATGTCAGGAAATAAATAAATAAATGCAGCAACTTGACACTTTTTACAGCAGAGCTACCACCTGAATCCCCAGCGCGAAATTTAAATTCCAGTTAGTCATCGCGGCGCCGAATATGTTCATAGCTGGCAACAATGAATTTAAAAATCGCGCCCTGGATTACTTAACTAAAAGTTTAATTGATATGAAATATATATTTAAAAGTACAATAGTAATTTTTACTTGTTTAAAGCATCCGAAGACTGCATTTAATGGAATAGATTTCATATGTGAATATTTATACAATTCCAATTCAAAATACCCCGAGAGGCAGCAAAATCCCCAATACATATTTGACATGGATTGGGTTAAGGAAATATTAGAGAAATCGTAAGTTTATACAGAGTGTTTCAAAAAACATGTGCCATCTCTCGCGGGAAGATTCCTCTAGAAAAAATAAGATTTATTTTTCATATCAACATATTGTAATCGCAAAACATTTTCCTATCCACGTCATCAATCATATCGACATTGACACTAAAGTCTACAAACCTGACTAAATAAAATTTTGGCAAAAATGTTTAAATTTGTTGTATAATTTAAGATACCGAGCAGCTCTTTATTTTACTTTATAGAGCAAATGATTGTAACAGACATTTTATTTAGATTTTAGATTAAAGCTATTAATTAGTTTAAACCGAATTTTATTATTGCTATGTAGGCCACATTGCGCCGTGTTCAGCAATGTTGTCCTTTATTATTTGACAATTATCCTAGTGTCAGTAATTATTTTGTATAATATCGTGTTGTTGAATATTTGTTAGTGATTCTCGTTTTTTGCCTATTTTCATAGTCTTTTTTTAAAAAATGCACTTTTGAGCACAAACAGTTCTTTTAAGAACTAAATTTTCGAGTTTTGTAGTTGAAAACATGTCGAAGCATTTAAACTTGTAGCTTCCCTGTTTTTTTTTAACTATTTTGAACGGTAACGTGACAATACAGGTCCTTTATTACCCTTGATTGCAGTCAGAAAAATAAGTTTGATTGATAAGCACATTATACCACCTTCCAAGTTAGTTTTTATTAAATGCTGTGATTAGTTTCTACATTAATAGCACCCTCTTACCTGGTATTACCACTTATGGTGTTGTATAAGATGTACATCAATAAATAAATAACCCATAATAACGCTTATAATAATCTTCGTAATGGACTAGTTTTTGCCATTATGTAATAAGTAAAATAAGCTATAAAACAAATAAATCAATTAATCACTATAATACTAGTTATTAAATTAAAAATAAAACGTAAAACTTTTTAAAAAAAAATATAATAAATATGTTGTTTGTCAAGTTTAAATTAAGATTCATTTCATAAATTCCTCACAATCTGGCAGCGCTGTCGCCATCGTTTGTCACTCAAAGTTGATCACGTGCATCGGAAATTGTTTTGCGATTACCATATACCAAGTGTTGCATCATCGAGCGGGAAATAGAAAATCCCATGTAAATTTTAATGGGGTCAATTATTGGCTTCCCTAATTATTTTAGAGAATAATTCTATTTAGGTTTATTGAAGAGCACTAAAACCCACATTCAAAAGAATAACTTTAGATATTTTTGATTAGCCCGTTTACGAGTTATCGCCCGATTTCTTTTTAAATATTTCTCCTTTCTTATGGCCCTGTATTTACTTATGAGCGCCAGTCAAGGTAAAAGATAACTGTCAAATGAAGTTGTCATTTCAGAAATTATTCTATTTAGTGCTTTATTATTATTATTAAAAACTCATACCTACATCGAAAATATTAGCCATGAATTACACTACCGAAGAAAAAGTATTGATGATTAAATGGTATTATCAAGGAAATAGTTATCAAAAGGTGTCGGACATGTTTGCTGCTCTGTATCCGAATAGACCGATACCTGGAAAATTTACAATCGCAAGGAATATCCAGAGATTTGAGACCACAGGTACCCTAATAAATAACTGCAGATGTGAAGCAAGGCAGGAACAAAGAGAAGATACAAGAAATGATACCGACTTGGAAGTTTTATTGTGCGTGGAAGAGAACGATGGAAAGATCAGCACAAGAAAACTTGAGGATGAAATAGGAATAGATCACACTACGTTTCGAATTTTGAAACGACATAAATACTATTCCTTCAAATATGAAAAGCATCAAGAGCTACGAGATGGGGACGAAATACGGCGGCAGGCGTTTTTTTTTATATGATGGAAAGAGCAAACACGGATAGGGAATTTTTAAAAAAGATATGTTTCACTGACGAATGCACGTTTACCTTAAATAATGAACCCAATGTTCAAAATTATCGATATTGGAACAAAGAAAACCAACACAGGTTTGTCGAAACAAGGACACAATATCCACAGAAAGTAAATGTTTGGGCAGGGATATTCGGACACAATATTATCGGGCCATTATTTCTTACGCGAAATTTAAAAAAATGCAGAATATTATTTGGAACTACTCGAAAATCATATTTTACCTGCTTTACATGATGCCGCTAGGGAAAATCAGGAAGTTTGGTACCAAATGGATGGCCGCCCGGCACATTGTACCCTGGTTGTTCGGGAATATTTAGGCAATAGTTTTAACGGAAACGTTATTGGCCTAAATCATACAGTAAATTGGCCAGCAAGGTCTCCTGATATTTTGCCAAATGATTTCTTTCTCTGGGGCCATTTAAAAAACAGGATATACAAGGATAAAAAATACCCAAATCTAGACGAGTTAAAAAATGCCGATATTTCTGACGAATGCAATAGAATTTCAGTTTACCAACTAGCGAATGTAAGAAGAGAATTTTATGATCGCCTGGGTTATTGTCTAGCAGTCGATGGGGGAATATTTGAACATCTTCTTAAATCCTAAAGTTCTAACAATTTAATAGTACCTAAATTAATAAGTTATTGAATATTGTAATAATACTATAATTAACCTTGTAATTGATTACTTTATTTTACTTTAATTCATGTTAATTTGTATTTATAAATCGATGTAGGAATGAGTTTTCAATACTAATAAAGCACTAAATAGGTAAATTTCTGAAATGACAACTTCATTTGACAGTTATCTTTTACCTTGACTGGTGCTCATAAGTAAATACAGGGCCATAAGAAAGGAGAAATATTTAAAAAGAAATCGGCGATAACTCATAAACGAGCTAATCAAAAATATCTAAAAGTATTCTTTGAATGTGGGTTTTAGTGCTCTTCAATAAACCTAAATAGAATTATTCTCTAAAATAATTAGGGAAGCCAATAATTGACCCCATTAAAATTTACATGGGATTTCCTATGTCCCGTCCGACCCGGTATAAGCTTATATTAATTCAGCAATAAATAAATAAATTAACTGTTATTGCAGACCCCGTCCCTATTATCCCTTCTCCTTGGTCTGGAACACCAACCATGCCGCCCTTAAAATTCAGTCCTTCATGAAGGGATATTGGGTAAGGAAGAGAGAAGACGTGCAAGAAATGAGAGTCTTCTGGAAGGTACTTCAACTAAAGATTCCGTATACAGGGTCGCTTTTATGTATGGAAACGGTCGATTATTAGGTAAAATATAGGAAGTACCGCAAAAAGTTGCATACAAAAGTTATAGGATTTTTAAATATCTATTAGCGAGTAATAAATTTAAGTATACAGGGTCGTTCATAAAGTCATGGTACATCAAAGTTTCATTTTTTTAAATAGAACCCCCTGTATATTATTACATATTTCAATTCTTCCTTCAATTCTAAGCAAAAATCGAAATACACACAATGTACCTCAAAGCAACCGTTTCCGAGTTATTGACTTTTGAAAATATCACTTAAACAATTCAATTTAATTAATTTCGATGTGTTTGGTTTGATTTCGTGATGCCATTCTGCCGAAACTGTGATACTGTTGTAATTAGCGATGGGAACTATCGAATGAATTAGACTATCGAATGGTTACTGAATGAATGATTTCAACTATCGAATGGTTTTATTCGAATAAAATCATTCATTCATTTGTATACTAAAGCATATGTGACAACCTCGCCGTGCAACTAAATGGTTATCGTTGAGCCACGACTATCGAATGCTTTTGATAAATGAAATTTAGTATTCGTTTGATTTTTGTGTACGTCAGTGCATTACTAGTTCTTCCAAATTTTTATAACTTCACCTTATAGATACTGTGCTATTTTTGCGTTTATTAAAATATTTAAAATACTAGAGTAGTAGTTTTTTTAATTGAGGATTGTGTGCGTGTGCGGGTGTCAAAATTTTTCCGAAAATTTGTGTGATTTTCCGTAGCCCGATCTTTCAATTATTTTATTTTATATGGTATATATGGTCTATTTTTTAATGGGAAATTTTGAGAAGTAGCAATTTTTAAGAGAGATGAGATGAACTTAGAATTAATTTTAAAAATACATATTTGTATTTTAGATGTTTTAATAATATGAATTAGTTGAACTTAATAATCATATATATTTAAGTAATGTGGTTAAGTAAATGGGGGGGGGGTTATCGAACTCAAACTATGGGGTGTGAAAATTAAATTGAAAGTTTTACACGTGCCAATTTAAAAAAAAAGTTAACGATGTTTGTATTTTGTTTATGCTAATTCTCTTACATGTAGTTTTTTGCGAAGAAATATTTCTATTTTTTAAAGTAAATGCCAGTAAAAATAAATATTATTTTTAAATAGTAATATAAAGTACCTAATATAAATAATTTTGATTTCTAATTTTTTCCATTACACTGCATGCTTAGAAAATTAATAAATGTTTATATTTCATGATTTTAAAGTTTGTTGTTAATATAACAAATTAGTTCTGTAATTATTATTATTTAATAAACCAACGTTGCCAAAAAATTTAAAGACTATATTATTTTTAAATAGGATCTAATATAAATAATTTTGACATCTAATTTGTTGTTTATATTTTGCTACTACGTAAAAATATTTTTATATTAAATTATTTTAAATTTTGTTGTTAATAGGTATAACAAATTATTACTGTTAACAAATTATTACTATTATTTTTATTAAAGCAGTCTTTGCTTAAAAACATTAAAAATCATTTTCCTACATCCAAAATAACAAGTATTATTGCAGTGTAACAACAGAATATTAATAAAAAAATGCAAAATATATAGACATACTATCCCTAACTAACTAAAGCCAAACAATAATATTCTTTGCTAATATCAACTAATACCAATATATGGCAACAGCGCCCTTCATAATGTATTTTCTGTGTAAATACTAGCACTTAGTCCTTATCTTTATATGACTCCGCAAAAAATCAAAGATGCCGGCTTCTTTCATAGCATTGCCACCGACCGCTGTCGGGTTTCTCGGAAAGAAACCTACGTCGCCGAGCGACAACTAAAATCCAGTTAATATTTTATTATAATCGATCCTGACGAATAAATGATTTTCATAAATGAATGAATTTTATAAATGAATGGTTTTTGCTGCCGAATTACTAGAATACAATATTTCAAGGCAGATGACGCATCTATTCGATAATTTTTATTCGAATAGTTTTCAACGAATGTTTTTTACTAGCTATCGAATTATTCGAATGAATTGCAACTATCGAATGTTTCGATAGTATTCATTCGATAGTTCCCACTACTAGTTGTAATGGGTTTTCAAATTCCTATTAGCTACCAGTGAATTTAAGTATACAGGGTCGGTCATAAAGTTGTGTCACATCAAACTTTTTTTAAATGAAACCCCCTGTATATTATTCTAAATTCAATTCTTCCTTCAATTTTAAACAATAATCGTAATTTACAATGTACATAAATTGAAGAATTGAAATGTTAAACGAAAATTTTGTAATTTCCAGACTTGCTATACTCTCATTTTATACATCTATAAATGCTAACTTGAGAACTAATGTCAAATATTATTAAGTATCACAGTTTCGGCAAAATGGCATCGTTAAATGAAACTGAACATATCGAAATTAATTAAATCAAATTGTTTAAGTGATATATTCAAAAATCAATAATTCAGAAACGGTTGGTATGCGGTAGGTACATTGTGTGTATTGTAATTTTTGCTTAGAATTGAAGGAAGAACCGAAATATGCCATAATATACAGGGGGTTCCATTTAAAAAAATGAAACTTTGATGTGCCACGACTTTATGACCGATCCTGTATACTTAAATTTATTACTCCCTAATAGATATTTATAAATCCTATAACTTTTATATTTAACTTTTTGCGGTACCTCCTATATTTTACCTAATAATCGACAGTTTCTATACATAAAAGCGACCCTGTATAATTTTTTGCAATACATAAAAGAGTTAATTTTTTAGCATCACAAGTTAACTCAGCACGTGGAGGATTCGCCATAGACTTATTTCTATAAAAACAAATAATTAAAAATGTTTATTGTAGTAGAATAGTCTTTATCAGAATAAAAGATTTTATTTTTACCGTGTGTTTTTCAAAAGTGGCTCTCCTCTATAACTTTTTTTATTTTTTCAGATAAAAAAACGAGATTTGGTATGTTAGTACTAATGTTCCATATTAATTTTGTCTCATCCTGTATAACTTTTCGGGTCAAATTTCAATTTGGTTTAACATACAATGGTTACTGTAATTAAATTTCAGGCTAAACAAGATCAACTAAAATTTAGGTAACTGTTATCGAGAATTTAAAATTTACTATTTATTTTCGCAAAATGTGAAATATGTCAAGATTTTTAGATTTTAGGTAAATGCTTCTTTAATAAAACCCCTTAGAGACCTTTATTTTTTTCTAGAATCCAAAAACAATTACTATATAGGGTGCTCCATTAGAAAAAAACCTCGCAAAAAACACAACTTTGATGTGTAACTTTTTTTGGGGACACCCTGTATAATTCTATATATTTATATAAAATGCTTTCAGTTAACCAAAATATGCTGCCAAAATTTCCTTTCGATATAAACTACCGTTCTCCTTGGAGCTTCCGCAGCGTATGAGAGGCACCACCCTGTACATATCTACACACACCGGAAATATCTAGGGATATCATTTTATTAAAGTTAAAAATAAATGTTTTGAATAAACAACCACATATTTGTAGGCCGATTCTTTCTACTTCGATTGAAACGAAGTAGTCACACTAGTTATTTCTAAATTTGGAATATTTGCAGAAGTGTTTGTGCATTTTTTGTCAAATGTATAAAAAGCACTAGCATCAATTGTTCGAATTTAACCTGTACTGGCTATGTTTTTATGATAATTGGCCAGAATTCATTCAAATAACTATGTTTAGTATTAAACGACATTATGGAGCGTAGACATCTTAACAGAGACGAAATGCTAAGGGCCATGGGTATGCTCGAAGCTAGAATGCGCCAAATCGACGTAGCTAGAGCATTAAATACAACGCAAAGTGTAATATCGCGATTAAGTGCACGCTACCGTGAAAGTGGTGATGTTGCTGAAAGGCACACAGGGCGACATCGCATTACTGCCCCTCAGCAAGATCATTTTTTACAATTAAATGCTCGACGCCGACCGACTCTTATAGCACCAGAGCTTAGTTTAATTCTCCAGGAAACACATAATGTAACCATTAGTCCTGACACTGTTCGCAATAGATTAAGAGAGGTCAACTTAAGAAGCAGACGCCCCTGGAGAGCTCAACCCTTAACGAGAGGAAATCGAAAGGTACGATATTTGTGGGCTCAAGACCATGTTCAGTGGTCGAATGAACAATGGGCCAATGTTCTCTTCACGGATGAGTCACGCTTTGGAATTCATCCGGATTCGAGAAGGCTTAGGGTATGGAGAGAACCGGGAAATCTTATTCGGTTGTATCATGTTCAGGAAGTGCATCCTTATCAAGGTGGAACAGTTATGGTCTGGGGAGGAGTCCAGTTAGGCCGAAAAACCGATCTCGTTTTTCTTTAAAGGTTTCTAACAGGAATCTCATATCGTGATTTAATTCTTGAGCCTGTCGTGTTACCATATGCCAATGATTTTGGGAGAAACTTCATTCTCATGCATGACAATGCACGGCATCATACAGCCAGAGTGGTAAGTGAGTTTATCAATGCTCATCAATTAAACATCTTACCCTGGCCGGCACAATCTCCTGACCTCAACCCCATCGAGCACGTATGGGACGCGGTCCAAAGAAGAATTTTGAGAATGGGTATGCCTCGTGAAACTCGTAGGGATCTGGTTCGGGCCGTGAATGCAGCGTGGCAGGCTGTACCTCAAGAAGAGATCGACAACCTGATCAGGAGCATGGAGAGACGATGTAGGGCTGTAATGAACAGTAGAGGAAGCCATACCCTTTATTAAGTAAAAATGGTTTTATCTTTTTTTTTAATTCACAGTTTAGAATAAAAAAAAATGTGTGTATTTTTTTGAGTTCAATAAAAATCAAGGTAAATTTGAAAAATTCGGTAAATTTCGCATTTTTATTTCCAATACTGTCCTGTAAACTATTTGTTTATTTTAATTTTATTATATCAGAAATGCAAATAATAAAATTACTAACGATGGCTGGATAAAATTGTAATATCCCTAGACTTTTCCGGTGTGTGTATTTTAAATTATCCAATCGATGTATAGTCCATAGAATAAAGTAAATTGTTATTTGGTTAATATAATTATTCCTCTATTTCAATGATATTGAGTTACATCAATGAATAGCATCACTTTTTTTCAAAGAAAGTGGCTCAATATGCAAAACACAATAAAAAATAATGCGAAATAGTTTTCTAAAGGTGACTCACGCTGGCTCAGGAGTCTGCTAAAAATAACAAGTCTATTGAATGCGTAACAATCAACTAAATACATAGCTGTACAAGCAATAAATTAAACAATTTCACTTTCATTCAAGGACCCGAGCGCACAGCGTACTGACAATGAGGGCTTCTGTTTCTTGGCTCGTCGAGAAGACATGGTGAAGGTCATTCGTTTTTAATACAAATTAAGTGTTTTAGCCAAAATTCCCCATTAAGTGTTTTAGCCAGACTTCTTCTGAATGTACTTCAACAACAATGAGGACTTTTTTTCCTTGGCTTGAGGTTTGTTGACATTTCCCTGGTTTTGCATTTGTTAACTGTTCAGTTTTAATTTAAAAATACAGTTCATACCAAATAAACTTTTAGTCACGTGATTAAGCTTGACAGAAGAAATTCTTCCTTTTATTATAACAAATCATTTAGATGCCTCATATCCTGCTCTCACTGTTTTGTTAAAAATAGTTTTCACCATACCCTCTAATAGCGCTGGAGCAGAAAGATCGTTTAGCAGGTTAAATAAAATTTTGAATTTCCAAAGATGTTCAATGACTGAGGGAAGGACAAACAACTTATCATTACTTAGTATCGAATCGGAAAAAGCACAATTAATCGATTATGATAAGTTATTAAACAAACTTAAGTCTGTAAAAACAAGATGCTTAAGATTTTAATTAAGTAGATAGTTTTATTTTTTGTTCGTATTTTCCCTAGTAGTACAGTAATGTAATAATGTATGAATAAAGGGAAATTAAAATAACTTTCGTTGCACATCATAATACGACCACCAGCAAACTCCATAAGAAATAATGGCCCGATAATATTGTGTCCGAATATCCCTGCCCAAACATTTACTTTCTGTAGATATTGCGTCCTTGTTTCGACAAACCTGTGTTGGTTTTCTTTGTTCCAATATCGATAATTTTGAACATTGGGTTCATTATTTAAGGCAAACGTGCATTCGTCAGTAAAACATATGTTTTTTTAAAATTCCCTATCCGTGTTTGCTCTTTCCATCATATCAAAACAAAACGCCTGCCGCCGTATTTCGTCCCCATCTCGTAGCTCTTGGTGCTTTTCATATTTGAACGGATAGTATTTATGTCGTTTCAAAATTCGAAACGCTGTAGTGTGATCTATTCCTATTTCATCCTCAAGTTTCCTTGTACTGATCTTTCCATCGTTCTCTTCCACGCACAATAAAACTTCCAAGTCGGTATCATTTCTTGCATTTTCTCTTTGTTCCTGCCTTGCTTCACATCTGCAGTTATTTATTAGGGTACCTTTGGTCTCAAATCTCTGGATATTCCTTGCGATTGTAGATTTTCCAGGTATCGGTCTATTCGGATACAGAGCAGCAAACATGTCCGACACCTTTTGATAACTATTTCCTTGATAATACCATTTAATCATCAATACTTTTTCTTCGATAGTGTAATTCGTGGCTAATATTTTCGATGTAGGTATGAGTCTTTAATAATAATAATAAAACACTAAATAGATAAATTTCTGAAATGACAACTTCATTTGACAGTTATCTTTTACCTTGACTGGTGTTCATAAGTAAATACAGGGCAATAAGAAAGGAGAAATATTTAAAAAGACATCGGCAATAACTCGTAAACAGGCTAATCAAAAATATCTAAAATTATTCATTTGAATGTGGGTTTTAGTGCTCTTCAATAAACCTAAATAGAATTATTCTCTAAAATAATTAGGGAAACCAATAATTGACCCCATTAACATTTACATGGGATTTCCTATGTCCCGCTCGACGATGCAACACCGTTATTAGTCATAATACCGGCCGTGAAAGCCTACACAATTTTACCCGGTATATTTTTCTTAAATTAGTTAAAATCGACTTGTAAAATTAACAGCGGAGCCAATATTTGGACAGTTTAAAATTTGCATGGGATTGTCTATATTTCCAACGACGATGCACCATCCGGTAGATGTATTTTTCGATATCGATAAAATAAAATGATCGATATATTTATTCATTCCTCAATTTCCTGTCAATTTGCGACGAGCAACACAATAAGATCGACAGCAGCATCGAAAATCATGCACCGAAAAAAAAAATGGTCCCAAGCCCATGGAAGAAACTGCATCTTGCCTCTACCGAAAGTTCAACGGCTGCGAACCGGACCCGGATCCGGGAGAAAGTGGTCGAAATGCTAAAGACAAGATTACGTCTTTGTTTAGAACACCGGTGAGGTAACACGGCTTTCGATCGACTCTTGCTTGCACTATACGCCTGTTATTCAATGGCGCCAGAGAGCATAATTCGTATAAAACCTATTTATCGAATAGCAACTACTTATACAGAAAATACTCACCATTAACTCAACATTAACATTAAATGAGAATTATTTTTTTTGCAGATTCAGAAATTGTAAAGCCTTGTATGCCTCCAGATGCTGTCCCTTCACTGCTTGAAATAGGCTCTGTCATTACAACGGCTCGTTCTGGAACAATTACACTATAGTCTGTGAAACGAATAACTTTGAATTTGACAGTTCCCGCGGGCTTTTCTAGTGTAAATTTTATTAGGTTAGCAACTTGCCGCCATGCTGATGCAATGCCGTCTCTAATAGAACAGCCTCAGAGCGAAATTTGTGACGTCACGCTAGTTAGATACTACGGATTAATTATGTTGTAGAATACAC